TGCTGTCTCCTTCTGTCTCTGGCTTTGCAGCAATAAACTTTGTTGTTGTTGTTCGGGGACACTGAGTTGGCTCCAACCCATAGCAACCCTGTGCACAACAGGAAAACACTGCCCGGTTCTGCACCATGCTCACAGCTTCCTCTTCTTGAACCCCTTGTTGCAACCACTGGGTCAATCCATCTCCTATAGGGCCTTCCTCTTTTTAGCTGCCCCTCCACTTTACCTTCATGGTGTCTTTCTCCAGGGACTGGGCTCTCCTGACAAGTCCAAAGTGTGTAAGACTAAGTCTCACTTTCCTTGTCTCTCAGGAGCACTCAGCCCAACTTCTTCCAGATCAGTTTGTGCTTTTATCAGTTCATGGTATTTTCAGTATTCTTCTCTAGAACCACAATTCAAATGCTCATTTTTCCTTCAGTCTGTAGTCAGTGTCCAATTTTCGCATGCATGTGAAGTAATTGAACATACCATGGCTGTGTCAGGCACACTTCAGTCCTCAAAGTAACATCCTTGCTTTTCAATACTCTAAAGACATCAAATGCATCAGATTTACTTAATGCAACTTGTATTTTTATCTCTTGACTGCTGCTTCCATTAACATTGACTGTGGATCCAAGCAAGACAAAATCTTTCATAACTTCAGTCTTTTCTCAATTTATCATGATGTTGCCTATTGGTCCAGTTGTTAGGATTTTGGTCTTCCTGATATTGAGTTGTAATCCGTACTGGACTGCATTCTTTGATCTTCTTCAGCAAGTGCTTCAAGTCCTCCTCATTTTTAGCAAGCAAGGTTGTGTCATCTGAATATTGCAGGTTGTTTGTAAGCCTCCCTCCAATCCTGATGCCACATTCTTCATGTAATCCAGCTTCTCTGATTATTATTATTATTTTAAAATACTTTTATTGGAGGCTCTTACATATCTTATCACAATCCATATATTCTTTCAGGGTGTCAAGCACATTTGCACATATGTCACCATCTTCATTTTCAAAGCATTCCTTTACCACCTGAGCCCCTGATATCCACCCCCATTTCTTCCCCCTCCCTCCCTCCGCTGCCCACCCTCCCTCACGAACCCATGATAAGTTATAGATTATTTTTTCCATATCTTACATCGTCCTCCGATGCCCTTCACCCACTTTTCCATTATTCATCCCCCTTGGAGGGGTTCTAGGTTGATCCTTGTGATCGGGTCCCCCCTTCTTCCCCCACCCTCCCCTAATCCTCCTGGTATCTCTACTCTTTTTGTTGACCCTGAGGGGTTTATCTGTCCTGGATTTCCTGTGTTGCAGGTTCTTATCTGTAGCAGTGAGCATGCTCTGGTCTAATCCAATTTGTAAGGTAGATTTGAGGTCATGATAGT